GCAAGCCACCAACCAACCAAGCAACCAAGTAACCAAGCAACAAGCCAACCAGCCAACCCACCAACCAACCAAACCAACGAACTAACACAAAAAAAACAAATAAAACAAACACCAAGACAGACAACCAAGCAAACAAACAAACAAACAAGCAAACAAACAAACAAACACACTAACTAACAAACAAACACATCAACGAACAACTGAACACACAAACAAACAAACACACACACACACACAGACAGACAACCAAGCAAACAAGCAAGCAAGCAGGCAGGCCGGCAACCAAGCAGGCAAGCAATCAAGCAAGCAACCAAGCAACCACAACACACAAATTGACAAAACAAAGACGAAGGAGCAGCCACCATGCGCAGGAAACAAGCACACACCTCGACCAGAGATCATGGCTCTAACATGGTTGCCATTGCAGCTCCTTAGTGCAACTGTCACGGCACCTGTCTTCAACAAAAACCCAAGAAGCCTAAACCCTCGGAATCGAAACTCGAAAGTACTAGTCCGCAAACGCAGAGCTTAAAGTTCTTAGTAATAGCAATATCCAACAGGGATAAACCGCATTCGGCCCCATAGAGCGGCCTTCAGCAAGCTAACCTCCACCTTGACGCATGGCGGCATAGAAGTTTCGAACCTTGGCCGGGAACATGTCTTGCGGCTTCGACCAGGGAGAAAGAGTTTAGGGGTTTAGGGTTTAGGGGTCCAGGGTTTAGGGTTTAGGGGTCTAGGGTTTAGGGTTTAGGGTTTAGGGTTTAGGGGTCTAGGGTTTAGGGTTTAAGGGGTCTTTCGGGGTCTAACTCTACTCCCCGAACATACTATTCATGCCTTTACTGCCCAAAGCAAGACACTACTATCGAGGCCTACGTACTTACCAATAATATTTGGGGTTCCTGCATATGGTTGTCCTACTAAGGGTCCATGTACCCAAATAGTAGATACTTAGCCCTTAATGTAGTCCCTATATAGGTACTTTAGAATCAAAGTATACTCATACGGATACATGGACCCTTTGGGTATTATAGTATAATGCACCAACGCCCGCTTGTAAACCTTCAGGCCTTATATCACAGTGAAAGTCTCAGCAAGGCTCTCAGATAGATGTCTCGCTTCTTTCAACACCTAAAGGTTTATAATTTAGGGTTTAGGGTTTAGGGGTTTAGCGTTTAGGGTTTTAGGGGTTTAGGGTCTAGGGGTTTAGGCTTTAGGGTTTAGCGTTTAGAGTTGGGTCCAATTGTCCGTTCGGAAGTCTTGCTTGAGGAATGGCGGAGTGTCCATGGGGAGTTCCCTGACCAAGGGGGTTCCTTCAGCGTCTTCGTGGGTTTTGGGGCATATGAAACTTTAGTGAAAATATAAAGAACCCCCCAAAATAGTATAGGTAATTATGAAGGCCCCTCTAGCA